GATGTAAGTTTTGGGCGAGAGAGAGAGAGAGAGAGAGAGAGAGAGAGAGAGAGAGAGAGAGAGAGATTGCGATGTAAGTTTTGGGCGAGAGAGCAAGGAAACGGAGATAGAAGTTAGTTGGTGAAAGTTGGACGAGACAGGCGGTAGCGGCCCTGTCTTTTGTCTTTTTCTCCTTTTGGTCCTAAGGTTCTCCGGACGATTATTGGTCAGAGTATGAACTGGTGTTTATCCATTTCTCTCTGTGTTGTCCGTTTCTCCTTTGCTCAATGCAGGTATTATATGTATATAGGCTGGCGTAGAGAGAGGGCCGCAGAGAGGCGGGGAGCATGGTAGTTCTCGTTGTCCTTATGACTGGCTTGAGAGTGTGTGAGAGGGAGGGTGGAAAGAAGGATTCAGATGGTGGTGGTGTTGCTCGGGGAGAAAGCTCCGCACTGCGCGTTAGTCCCTCGGTTCAAGCCGCTCGAGTCTGATCCTGTCTATGTTATGTACATGTTTGTAGATGTACTCTATATAAAGATAGGTGGAGAGCATTCTCGAGATCGCTGTCTATGTTATGTACATGTTTGTAGATGTACTCTATACAAAGATAGGTGGAGAGCATTCTCGAGATCGCTGTCTAATTACTGTAATTGACTGGTTGTGCGTTAGGAGAGCGAGCCCCGAAGAGTCGGAACTCAGCCAGACTAACGTCTTCCTTCGAATACGACGCACCCTCATGATGACGGTGTCGGACCTTCAAGATAGCTTGTACACATGCGTTGTGTTCGGGGGGGAAGAAGGTATAGCATGGATGAACTCGTCACATCCTGTCTTCAGAACGAGAGGTGGTTCTGTCTCTAGATGGTGTTAAAACCCTTTGAGAGGGGTCGGCGGGGATGCGCGGGCTGTTAGGGGGGCGGTATAGGGGAAATTTAATGTGAAGTTAATCTACATGCCCATCAGGGAAATTGTCACCAATCGCGTGGAGGAAATGGTATGCTATCCTGAAATTAAAAAGGAAAAAAGAAATGGCATGCGGGATTCTTATTGCCGGGGCACGTAGTGTTGTCGTAACGTGTGCCCAATGCGATTTGACATTGCGTACTGTGCGATTCGACATTTTGCATATTGTTGTGTGATCTGTATTGTAGTGCGCTACCGCCTCTTCCTTCAGACACAATACAGCTGGATCATAAACGTGGACAAGTGTTCTTTATGGTCCCCTACTTATGAACAGGGTTCGTTATGCTCGGGGGAAGACGGTAGATACGAGACGCGTTGCTTGTCAGTTGCGTTGTGCTCGACGGAAGGCGGTAGATGAGGGACGCGTTGCTTGTTAGATGACCGGGGAAGATGAATCGGGTGTGTGAAGGTCGGACATCGCTGTGGTGGTTGTGTGTGGTGTACTATATGCGTACCAAGAGTTGGTCTTTCCCAGTGACCCCATTTGACGACAGGCGGTGGTCCCCACCTTGAGTTGGTCAATTTGGGTGTCTCCAACCATGCGGTTGGTGCAACCCTGGCCATCTTCCTTGGTATGGTGGTCCCCACCTTGAGTTGGTCAATTTGGGTGTCTCCAACCACGCGCATGTTACAGTTGGGCATCCTCCTTGGTATGCTATAGGAAAGGAGTGCACCGTCCTTAGTATGGTATAGGAAAGGAGAGAGAATGAGGTAAGATCGTTTGTGCTGATGGAAGCTGATGATGGGAAGGAAGTACTCTTCCGTGGATTTCTGGCGCTATGTGGTCCACATCTCCTCGTCTTGTTTCTAGATTTGGATTTGCGAAGAGAAACTTCGTCCTTCAGCGCAAATATCCAACCATCACAATCGCTTCCTCTTCTCAAATCAAGCTGACGATGGGAAAAAGGTACTCTTCCGTGGGATATCTGGCGCTGTTTGGTCCACATCTTCTCGTCTCGTTTCTGGATTTGGATTTGCGAATCGAAAGTGATGGCTTGATTTGCGAAGACGAAGTGATTGCGTGGTGGGGTTGTCAAGAGGAGGGATTGATGGCTGGATTTTTTGCGAAGAGGAAGTGATGGGTGGCTGGATTTGCGAAGAGCAAGTGATGGGTGCCTGGATATGGCTGGATTTTTTGCGACGAGGAAGTGATGGGTGGCTGGATTTGCGACGAGGAAGTGATGGGTGGCTGGATTTGCGAAGAGGAAGTGATGGGTGGCTGGATTTGCGAAGAGGAAGTGATGGGTGGCTGGATTTGCGAAGAGGAAATGATGTGATGATGGTTGCGCGTACCGAAAAAAAAACGTCCCGCTTGGGTCCGCGAGTTTACAGTATGTACAGAACGAAGCAGCAGAAAAAACCTGTTTCCAGTCCTTACACTCACCCGGCTTGCCTCCGCGAGTTTCTTGGCTACGGTGTATTTCAATCCTCTTGCCTGTTTTTGTGGGATACAATTGCGGATGATGTTGATTTTGTCTCAATCCGAAGAAGAAAAAAAGCCAAGGTTTTGGACCGCGAAGTCTGTTTCGGTATTCTCGCTTGTTCCAAATCCACTCTGCTGTGGTGTGTTTGTTTTTAAACATGGTATTGTAATAATATAATATAATACAGGAATGATTTGTTATTTAGGAAGGAGATGGATATGCCTTTATTGGGCGATGGTTTGGTGCGCATCGTTTCTCGCTTTGACGTAGACCGTTCGCCTTCGTTCTTCTTTTTTTTTTTTTCGATTTCTTGCGTGTCATCCTTGCGCAGGGGCCATTTGCTAATTTATCCTTCTCTGTATCGTTCCAATTTTAACGGATGTTGTCCCGAAGGACAAATTCTTCTTCTTTCTTTGTTTTTTTTGGTTGGGAAGTCTGGGATATTTTTTTACCTGTCGGGCAAGGAGAGAGATTGGTATTATCAGTCCTTCGGGACATCCGTTAGCATTGGAACGATACAGAGAAGAGAAGATTAGCATGGCCCCTGCGCAAGGATGACACGCATAAATCGAGAAATGGTTCTAATAAAATAAACTAAAATAAACTAAAATAAACTAAAATAAACTAAACTAAAATGAAATAAAATGAAATAAAATGAAATTGGTATGATCGGGACTCACAAAATTCGGGAAGTCTGTACGATAATTGTACCGCTTTGTGGAATTTCACCTTCGACGACGTTCAAACCTAGAACAACCCCGTCAGTTGTTGTGGTTACGCTCTTTCCTCATTTCTTTCTCTCTCCCCTTCACTCTGTTGTTGTTTATATGCAGGTGTACTCACTCTTCTTCTCGTAATGTCTGCTCTCCCGTGGTCTTGTTTTTTTTTGTTTGGCGCATAGCGGAGGACGGGCTGGCTGTGCGGTGTGCTTGTTGTTTATATGCTGGTGTGCTTATTGTTTCGTCCATTCTATAGGATGAAAAAGGCTTCGCTCCTCCGCTAGAGGCTGCGGTGGCGAAGAGTAGGCCGGCTTCTTGTGATTGATTTGTCGCTGGCGCGCGGCTTAGGATGGAAGCGCGCAGCGCAGAACTCGGCGTGATGAAGAGAGACCTTCATGTGCCCGCTCGTCCTGCTTCTCCCGCGTGTAAAAGTCCTATGGACCGTAATTGGTTATCGTTGAAAAGCGGGCGAGGAATTGGGAGTGAGTTCTCGGTCCCTGTGTGCAATCGACACTGGCTGTCCTTGGATATAACCAACGGCGAGGCCTGTCAGGGCAAGGGTTCAGACCTCGCGGATGCCGCGTGTCATGCAGCGGGCCATCCCGATTCGTCCTGTGGCGTTGATCAGGAGGTAGTGGAGGCGAAACCGGAAGCTGCAGCGAAGTCTACCACGATGGCTCGTCCGCGGTTTGCTTCCCCTACTGACCTGTGCGTTTCGCGGAGAGAGAAGGAGAAAGGAGTAGCAGTGGCTGCGCCTGTTGTTTCCTCCGAGCGCGGGGATGACTCTTCTCCGCCGGCGTTTGCGGTAGCAGAGGCGGAGAGCATGCGCCAGAGAAAAGCATTCACTGTGGATCGCGGAATGCAAACGCCCGCTGCTGCGCCTGTTGTTTACTGCGAGCGGGGGGTTGGTAATGGTTCTCCAGCACCTTCGACATCGCCGACAACTGCCTTTTCAGATGCAGAGAGGTGGTGCCAAAGAAAAGCACCCACGACTGCCTGCAGAGCGCAGACGGCCAGTACCAAT